ACAGAAAAGACAGAGCAGCGGCCCTCTGCCCAGCCAGTGATTCAGAGGCAGGGTTGTCACTGCCCACAAACCTCTACTGCTGACCTCATCCACAGCGACCACCAGCTAGGTAGGTAGGTCACCATTACTTTCTGATTTGAATTTTAAGCTCCTTAATTCTCTTGATACTTTCTTGCTCTTCCTCATCTCACAGCCTATCCTGTCCAGAGCTGCAGGCCTCAAAAAGACACAGTGGAAGGCCTCTGGCCAGTCAGTGACCCTGAGGCAGGGACATTACTGCCCACCTATCTCTCCTCCAGACCTCAGCCCCAGTGCCCACCCTCTAGGTAGGGAGGTCACCTTTACTTTCTGCTTTGGATTTTAAGCTCCTTTATTGTCTTGTAAATTTCCTGCTCTTCTTCCTCTCACAGTCTGTTCTGTAACCAACAACAGGCCACAGACAGACCCAGTGGCAGGCCTATGGCCAGCCAGTGATTCTGAGGCAGGGACGTCACTGCCCAGGAAACTCTACTGCTGACCCCAGCCCCAGTGCCCACCTGCTAGGTAGATAGGTCACCATTATTTTCTGCTTTGCATTTTAAGCTCCTTTATTCTCTTGTTAATTTGCTGCTCTTCCTCCTCTCACAACCTTTCTTGACTCTGGCTGCAGGGAACAGACAGACCCAGCACCAGACCTCTGGCCAGCCAGTGATTCTGAAGCAGGGACATCACTGCCCACCTGCCGGGAGCCGTACCCCCAGCCGGGGTGGGTGCACAGGGAGGCGACGCGGGTGAACAGGAATCAGACTAAGACCTCATGCCCTTAGCATGTTCTTAGCCGGCTGCAGCCAGAGTAAACTCCAGACTGCAGCCCTGATGGCCAGAAGTCATGCGTATTTATTATAGAAGGAGTTTTACAGCAGTGGGATGGGTGAGGGGAAGTAAGTGAAACATTTTGCTCTAAAAGGTAAGGCATTCAAAGTATAGGATCAATAATCATAAAACATGACGTCCGTTTTGTTTAGGTATAAACAGTCATAATTTTTAGAACGAGGAAGTCCATTTTTTGGGTGCATCTTCTTCTTAGATCTTGATTACCAGGGAGGGTCTTCAGATGAGAG